ATTCGATAGCGTAACATGAGCTGCACTTTCCCCGAGTGATTTACAACTTATAAGGGCGTGGATAGTAGTTAGACATGGTTCAAAGGGCAATATAACAAAAAACTTTAATTATAAATAAACGTATGCTGTTACAAACTTAAAGCTACTTAGGATAAACGAATGTACTATCATGTTACAATATGAAGTCATTCTAGAAAGAAAAGAAGTTTAATTTAGGTTTATTTCAATTTTTTTTTGGTTGTTAAGAGGTTGGTTGAATTGACCAATCCTGTTTTGAGATAAGGTAGAGAAAATAATACAAACTATATAGTTTTACTGAAAAAAAAAACATTTCAAATGCACTTAGGAGGTTTTAGGGATTACACAAAGGAAATTTGAGATTTTTAAGATACGGAAAAGTATCTTTAATTTTAACATGAAAATTACTTTGCACATGGACTATTCAAAATAAATACTATATTAATGGACATATCTTTATTTATTAAAAATAATTCACTATGTATGTGAAAGACTTATAATATGAACTAAAATACTGCCAAATGTTGTGAAGATATACACACTATATTGAAAGTTAGAAGTATTAAATCTATAAAGACTTTAATCAAGCACAAAGAAGTTATGTGGTCAGTCAAATTGACAGAGCCCGTGTTGAGAGAGTTAAGCAAAAAAGTAATAGGAAAAACCTAAGTCCTTTACTTAGAATGTTCAGTTCACTGGGTGAGAGATCCAAGTCACTGGGAATTGTAACAACTTGGATTGTTTCATTACTTTTTGAAATATAGAAATCATGCAATCTGAGGCTCCAATGGATGTTCACAGAAGAGAACAACTACAAAAGAAATAAATATACAATCTGGGTACACTACAACCTTGTGATTTAAATGAACATTTTTTTTCTTATAGAAATTCTCCCTACTTTTTTCAATTTTTTTTTTTCTTTCCTAATTTTATAAGTTGTATAGTATTTATGTAAAAGATGTAGCTTTCAAAAAAATATTATAACTCAATGTATGAAATGCTACTTGTGCATGCAATTTTTAAATTCTATACACACACTTTTGTTCTGAGCTTTATGATCTGACAAAGAATACATGCTTCAAACGTCACCTTCAAGAAATAAGTATAAAAATATCAATGATTTTGGAACCTGTCATCTATGTGGATAACTATACTTTCTTTTATTTGGAAGTTAACTTTAACCAAGTTACAACATGTATTAATCAAAAACACATTTTTTTTTCACTTACAATTCCTACTGTATTGACATAATACACAAGTAATACCATGATTAAACTTACAGTTATTTTGAATGGCACTTCACCATCTTTTCTCCATGACGATTTGTATAACAAAACATGTCTCTCTTTCTTATCCCAAAGCAACAAAAGTCGAACAGAACACACGTGGCCCCAATTTTCTCCCAAAGATGGAACTAAGTTACCTCCACGAAATTCATTCATTTTTGTGGTCATTTGATTAGTTAAGACAACCTGTAAACAAAATGACTGCTTAAAGCTTTACTACGCTGGAGTGTGAAAGATAAGGACAAATACCAATAATAACACTAATGAAAAGTCTTATGCTGCGTGACTTCATAAACAACCAACCAACACTCTAATAATAGATAGAATGAAAGAAAAATGTGTTTATATATTTGAAAATTAATCTAGATTTCATTTACTCACACTTTCTATAGCAACATTAAATAACAGAAATGCACTACAATTAATAATATAAAATTTTAAATCAAGCAGTTATAGAAATATTTGTTTCCAAAGCTTTTTAACACAAGATATGAAAATTTACATTTAAGTCTGCCACAGCCAAACTAAAATTTATAATGTAAACAAAACAGAGGTTTTAAAACTTGTATTGCAACAACCTATCAGCTTGTCACTCTGGATATTGAAGCTGATTGTTGCTACAACCATCACATCATATATATATATACAGTCCTTGATAGTTTTACACAAACTTTATCAAAACTTTTCTCATTACAAAGTACAAATGAGAAGTGGAAAAGTCAGTAAGTATATACATTTCCAGAATTTAAGAACTCTACTATTCTCGTATTTAACAAGTCTAGCATGATGTATTTACTAGTTTGTAATCTGACATGAAAATTTAAACTTACAGCTAAATTATACTTTGTTGCTAGTCTCATAAATGACTGGCCAATACTATTCAATAACTTTGTTCGTAAACCAAGATTGTCATCAAAACCATATCGAAAATGAAATGCAATGCTGTCAACTATCACTAGTCGAACCTGAAAAAAAAGAAAAATTATCTTTGAATACCCTCACGGTGTATAAAACATTTCGTCATCTCTTATATTCCTAAACAGTCTAAGATTCAATAAAACTGCTTCCTCATCTTTAGTACATGTATATAAGAACATAAGTCTTAAAACACTGTGTTTGTATGACACACATACAAAAGATTTTGTAATAATGAGTTACAGGACCGCCAATAGGGGGGGGGGCAAAGGGGCAACTGCCCAGGCCCGGGCGAATGAAACCTGGTTATGCTGTAAAGCCCGCAAAGTATCTTTAGGCTATATCTTCATTTAATTATAAAAACATAGTTCTGGCTTTTCTTTGCATATAGACACTTGATACATTAAGTACGACTGAAATAATAATTTGAGTAATAATTAATATGTAGTTGTTACTTTATTAAAATTTTTACTTTTACACTGTGAGGTAAAAATGGCTGCTGCTATGATTTTGTCTGGTTTATGAGCTCGTTGTTATCCTAATTTAGGATCTTCTTTTTAATAAATTCTTGAAAATGTTAAAAAAGAGAGAAAGGGGACTCAGCGAGGATGTTTGCCCCGGGGCCTGTGCTGGCTCTCGACGTTCCTGATGAGTCACTTAAGTAAATAACACTGTTGCTCTTTATTAGATTTAGATTTTTTTTAAAGTAAAATCTGAAGGTTTTATATTGTAATAAAATAATGGGATTATTCAAGCAGATCTTGCTTCCCTTATATGTTTTGAGCTGGTCACTACTTGCAATGGTTGGACTCAAGAAGGTGAAACAACATCTAATGCTGAGGCTGGATGGACCAGTGCTTAACTCAACCAAGTACAAGTGAAGTGTAGTTTAGCAACTGCAATATAGCCATAGCTAAGTTACACCAACAATTTGGACTGGTAGAGACATTGAAAACCTCAGAGAATTTTGCCAATTTCTTGGAGATGGGTATACTGCAGAAAGTGCGCTAGTTTTTCCTGTACAACAGGTGAACTGCAGTGCCATTGTAAAATCATCCAATGTTGGCCAGAGTGGAACTCAAGAGCAGAGGAATGCATGAGTGCATGTTGAGAAAAGGTTCATTGTGTCACTGAATGATGGTGTTCCATGGCGTACTACTGACTCAGTCTAGTGCATTATCAACATCTGATGTACTGATGCAGAGGTGTAGTGAGGTGGAAACACATGGGCATGGAGTACTTGTACGTTTTTGTAGCCAGAACACCTTACACAGTTATGCAATAGATTTCACATTCTGGCACTTCTTTATTTAGCAATACACCACTGGTTGGAACCAATGTCTGAAAAGCAGGGTGCATTTGGGAGAACAGTTATCTGCTCTAATGAGAGCACAGTCACAGTGCTAACCTGTAAATGTAGGCATTTGAGTATACAGCATATTACTGCAATATTTACTGATATGGTAAGTGAAACAGTAGCAGTTGGAAACAGCTGTACGACTAGGATTGCTTCAATTCCACCACATCCACACAGCTGCTAGAATGTCTAAGATTGCTGGTTAACTCTTTCAGCATGGGCTCGGTCCTGTGGTCGACCTCGTAACCATTGCTTGTTATAGTTTT